TATATTTAATCCTGATTTATCTTTAACTGGTATGCATATTTTCAAAGTACATCAATAAGTATTAAAATATAAGCATATCCATTATTTTTGAAATACTTTTAATTGTCCTGAATTTATTTCTACAAAATGTACTTGCCGAAATTAATTAATTATTTTCATTACAACTTCACGTCGTGGAAAATTTTTCGTTTAGGTTTATGTAATTCATCGATAATAGTTTCTCGAATATTTAGTTGTTTTTTAACAAATGTACTTTTATTCTTTCCACAATCAGCCCGTAAACTAGCTATTCTATATCTTCCATTTTGTATTGTTTCCTGTTTAATTTGAATAGTATCAGTATTTTTTACATTTTAAGAGATAAGTATTCATTTATACAACTTATACTTGTAAATGAATAGTTGTTTCAATGAATAATTCAAGAGAATGAGGTATATTCTTAACATAATTACTGATTCGCAAAAATATTATTTATTTCCTTTATTGAATCGTAATGGTTACGTATTCATATGGATATTGATGTATTAATGTTTTTAATATATTTATTTCTTTTCTCTACGTCCTGTTTCTTTTTTTCCATCTGCAAATTATGACGGTTCATTTCTTCAAATTCAGCTTCATTTCGTATGTGACTGAACAGCATCATATACAGCTTTAGCACTACTTATTAATAATGGTCCAAATGTTGCTAATAAATCCACCGTATTTTCCAGATTGTAGTTTTTTTATTGATGGAAGGGATATATTTAATGACATACCAGATCCTTTGTTTATACTATAATTTTTATCATTTATTTGTTTAGATGATAAAATACCATCAAAACTAATTTTTTAACATAATCTGGTGATAACGGAAATGTGATAAGATTTCATTCTCGATATTTATTCGTTTATCAAAACAGGTATTAAATTCCCCAATTCGGCTCTATCCCCATACCTAATTTCCTTTCAGCAAACTTTGTTCTAGTAACTGCAGTTGAAAATATTCGTTCTTTTAAATCACCATCTTTATTAAATATTCGTTTTTTAGCTTATTTTTGTAATATTTTATCAGCTTGATGTCTAGTTCTTTATGATCACTATATGCAGTATCATGATATTTACAAGCTTCATCAACAGGATTTATACCTTTATCCCCACATTCTAATTTTTTTTGTAAAAACTGTACCTGTTAAAAACGTCCACAGTTATTATAACCAGGAAGATGAAATTCTAATGATAATTGAGTAATTGCTTAATTTATAATACCAGAACCATGATTTTCAGATTACCAAAATGTATGTGGTATATTACATAAAAATCGAGTCAGATATAGAATTCCTCGTGGATTTTAAGTAATAAAATCTTGAAATGTACCTGTTAACCTCACCTGTTACCTTTGTGATATTTTTTCGTTATAATATTTATTATTTTCATCTTTTGTTCACCATGAATTACTAATAATCTGTCTATGAGTTCCTATACATTATTCATCCAAACACATTCAACAAATGTATCTTTATGTTTTTTAATATCATCCAATCCAGTTTTTTGTGATGTAACTGATTTTGTGCTTTATTGTTTTTCACCCCGTAATCCTTCAAATATTCTATTTCATTTTTCTGCAATATTAATCGAAATTGATTACTTTCTGGATCATAATATTTAAATGTAAGATTGTTTTAATTTCTATTTATTTATAATTTTCTATATCTTCCTCTGTACATTCTATATTTGATCATGATTTATTTGCTAGTAGACCTAATAATCCAGCAGTACCTTCATATTTTTCCTTCGTATGATAACATCATCGTTATATATCAATGTTATCAAAATATTTGTATTTATCTACAGGTCTGAAATCAAATGCAGTATCAGCAGAATTATTAATATATTCAGTTAATTTAAATCTAAATGTGTATTTTATCATTTCTTCGTCTTCTATTGCTTTTAATTGTTTTTCTAATTCTATTCTTTTTGAAGTATCAAATGATTCATATAATTGTTTTCCAAAGGTTGATGCTGACGATGTTGATGGTATTGGAAATAAACTATCACAATCATCATCGAAATCGTTTTTTGGTACTATTTGTTTATCATGTCCATGTTCAATACATTGAATAACATGTTTCCAACATGGTCTACTTCACCCACTAAATCATCTAATTTATTTATAATCGGTTGAACCTGATATAGATATCCGATTCTTTATTTACTTCTTTCTAAGCTTTATAACTAAATATCCGATTTATTTGATAAATACATACATTAGAAAAAATGTAGATGCTGCACAAAAAACATCTATGAAAATATGTGGTTTATTTCATAGTGCTATTCATAATAACACGAAAGGATACATTATCATATATGATAAAAAGAGTTTAACATATGACTTTCAATATAGTACAATTCAAGAAAATTTTTGAATAAGGATATAAGAATATAAATTAAGAAAAATCAATGTTGTTATCAATGTATTCATAGTTTTATGAAATGGATGACTAGAACATTTCGAGCAATGAAAAGGATTCAGGTCACTAAAATACAATATACTTTGAATTTACTACTTAAATTTAGACAAAATATCCTCTAATACGTGATGCAGCCAGAATCCTTGTTTTGTGGGTCTTTTACCGAAAAATTGACTGACGGCAAAAAGTTCTTATGCGTGATTTTTTCTAAATTTAATATTACCCTATCTCTCCACTCAAGGTCTCCCGATTTTGAAAAATTTTCTTCAAAATGTGGGGTACTTTATATAAAGCCCTCCGGACATTTATATTTTTTCTCGAAAACGGCTCCAAACTATTTCTTTAAATTTCTTGTAAGAATACAATATTACACACTTATAAAAGTGGCGGTTTTCACGGTTTTTGAACATTACAAAAGTCTGAATTTTTTGCGGCGACTTCCTACAACTATAAACTACAACAATAAAATTGAAGATAGATTTTTCCTTCAAATGAAACTGTTGTCCGTAATTAGTTCTTTCATTAAGATCATGTATTTTGTAAATGGCTGTTTTCGCCAATATTGCGAGCAATATGTTAGTTTAAAAAATTACAAAAACTAGATTTTCTCAAAAACTTCTCCAAACTTTCTTTAAAAACTTTTGTTATGGATAGCACTACATGCACTCTATAAGATGAGATAAAGGCCATATTGTTCTATTCTTTTTTTTAAAAAAAATTACAAAATGTATTTTTTTACATGTCTCTCACATTATTAATATTTATATTAGCGCCAATTTGTTCCCAATATTATATTTATGAGTACATGTGCGTTAAATAATGTTATATAAAGTTTCTAGAAAACTCAAACGTGTTCTGTTAAAACTAGTTCAAAATTCCCCATTTTTAGAAACAAACGTCATTTTCTCACAAACAGAATTTTGCCTTTAAACGTTTTGAACTTATAGTGGTATCGGCATTGTTTAAGATGACAGTTAATTTTGCTGTATCCTTTGGTTTTTTCAAAAATGACAAATGTAATTTTTTAATTTATTCCTTTAATATGCATATTTCCAGCGATTAGTAAACAACTTTTTCAATGAAAAGTGCCACATAGGATAAGGTTTTACACTCATTTAATATTAACAGTGCGGTTCTAATATTAGAAAACCGACAAATTGAGAATTTAAAAAATGACAGTATATGGAAGCTGGCAAGAGAATGGGGCAAGACAGAATGACTAACCCAGACCAAAGAAAATAGAAAACTAATTCTAGAAAGTCTGTGTCATTTTGTAGCGCCACTAGTTTCTTTCTCGCTACCGCTGCGGTAGAGAAAGCTATGTAATGCTACGCGAAAACGGCGAATTTCGGCAGAAAAACTCTTCCTTTAGGACCCAGGTAACGAAAATGTGGATAACCGTGATTGCTTAATTTAGAAAAAAGTCCTCTGATACGTGGTGTCACTAGATTCCACGTTTTGTTGATGCTTGATACCGAAAAATAGATTGACGGCAAAACGTTTGACCGACTTTCAATGAACAACGCTCGCGGCTAAACCGTTTAGTCGATTTCCTCCAAAATTGATCTTTCCAGATCGATCTCGCTTGTGTTGTAGCCCCTTGAATTTGAAACAAATTTTAAGATAGGTATTTATAGATAGATGTAGATATATATAGATAGATTTAAAGATAGGTATTTTTCCATCTCTAAAATCTATTCCTGTAAGACAGATTTTAAAGAAAGGTCATGTGCAATTATTCGAAATAAAATTTATATTTTAATTTTGTGTGAAATATAGGAAACTTTTAATTTTGCTTCAACAATTTTTCTCAAAAACGTCTGAATGCTTTTTGTTGAAATTTTGTTTTTGGATAGTCTGAAGTACGTTTAAGAAACTTTCAAATTCTATTTTAACCTCAGTAAGTATTAAAAACATTAGTATTTAATCGCTTTTTATCTATAATGACCTTAGGAGTTAAAAAAATACTTAATTAGAGAAACCATTCGTAATTTGGGGAAACTTCAGAAAAAAATGACGATTTGGTAAACTTTTAAAATCTCGAAGCTCGAATATTAACATATTTGCTTGAAAAAAAATAATGTATGTAATAGATTTGTAGAGACTTTTGTGACCTTTAAAATTGTACATAACTATTTTTGCATTAAGATCAACCATTAAAAAGTGACGCAAAAACAAAAAACATTCAAACAAAAACATTAAAAAGTTACAAAAAAATACCTCAACTTTTTTGTTTGTTTTTTTTTGCTTCCAAAACGTTTCCCGAAGTATTTCGTGGTGGTAAACATAGTATTTTCTCACTAATAACAATATAAAGAAATGAAAAATTAAATAATCTACCTCCCCTCTTGCAAGGTGGACCCCCTTTTCGCACCCCAGCGACTGCTCTAAAGAAGAGTAAGCACATTAATTGTGTTTTAAGGTATTTTCATTCAGCCTAAATGTAAATTGAACTAGTTTCTGAGAAAAGGTATAAGGTGGTTTTAGTACTTATACAATTGTGTTTGTACGTAACAACACGAAATTCTTTTCTAATCTTTTTTATTTCAGATGACTGGAATAATTATGAGCTCTTGTTTTGTAATGATATATGGAAGAATCAGACGTACTCTGACACATAAACGGAAACAGGTAATTGTCTTGTCAACATTAAAAGTTCTTGAGGTAGTGATGTAATGTGCCTATCATCTTGTTGTGTTTACACATAAAATTGTCTGTGATTTCAAAATCATATTATTTTAAATGTCATATGGTTATTTTGTGACTCATCAATTATGTGACAATTTCTGCTTGTATACATTTTTGCCCAAGCTGCGTAATCTAAGGAAAGGCCGAAAACAATTTATTTTATTTATTTTATTTTGAACTATTTCGATCCAGCGTTGTAGAAAACTTTTTTATTGAAAAACTAACTTCAAATTTGATTTTTTACTTTAGGAAAAGTATAATTTTACTAGGAAATGTATTGGAATCACCTGAGCAATATGATCTCGAATATTGATCGTATAATCCGTGTTGACGTTCATTTCAGCTGTAATTTCGCACGAACGCCAGGATTAGAATCTATTAGTGCTATTTTAAAGATAGTTAAGATTGGGGTGGGCGGAGAGAAGGTGCAAGAAATTTTGTATCCGAAAATCAATTTGTGTACATTGAAACGATTTTAAAATATCAATATTTAATATAATCTGAAGCATGCTTGTCATAGCCAATTTGAAACGAATGTAAAATCTCTAGTTTATTAACACAATGTGCCCGATTTTGTCCTAACTGAAATATGTTTGCAATTGTGAACTTGTCAGTGCAATTGTAATCGAAACTATTGATCTGAGTAATTTATTGATCCCCGACTCTTATGTTCTTTACAATGAAATATTAGTTACGTTGACCGACGTTCCATCCAGTACATAGTAGGTAAATGCTGAAAATGTATATATTTTAAGATGAACACCAGATCGTTTCTCTGCGGAGTCTGTCTATTAATAAAAACTAGCCTTCATGTTTTGATATTACAAGTTATTTAATGCTGATATTGCATGTATTGTTTACAACATTTGGTATCTTGCACGATTTGGCTATCTTGCAAGATGTCCTCGTATCCAGCGCTGCCCAAGTCAAGAACCTTCCCCGAAGAATCCCCTTGATCACCAGAAATCTTGTCTTGATATTGAAGGTATGTTCAAGTTTATGCCCTAAATCTGATATTAAACAATTTACATTGTTCATATAGAAAACTCGCGTTGTACATCCCTACTCGAAACTGCTTTCATTCACAAAAAAATACATGTCCTATCCGACGAACTGTTAAAACGACTAGCCAGCTTGTGTTCGCGACGATGACTTTATCTTCTGATGTACTCGCAACGGCGATCAATGTCACTTTCGTTTTTGTTTTTGCCAAATTTTTGTAAGTTATTTTGTTATTTGCTCTAACTCGTTCCATAATGGTCAATTATCTCGACTAGACGCTAATGCCTTTACTCAAATCTGCCAATATTGGCTGTCCACACATTTCGTTCGGTGACGCTTCCAAAATAAAAATCTGTATTCTATAAATGTCCACCACCCAAATCACAGCTATGTTTATTTTGTCCTAAAAATCTTCAATGACCCATATTTATTGTTTATTTTGGCCTCGAACATGTCTAAGTCCTAGTATTTGCTTCACAATATTTGCATCTAATATATTTCAATATCCAATATGGCTACCCCATGTCCTCTTCGTAAATGTATCAAACTCCTCTTATACTTTCGCACCCGGGTACCAATACTTTGAAGCGGATCACTTATGCATCAATATTTCCCTTGAGATATCCAGGTATCTCTTAAAAAAGATGGATGGAAGGATGGATGTGTCACTCGTAACTCTGATAGATGAGAAGCTTATATGCTGAAACTGGGTAAGAATACCAGGAGTAACACCAGGTTATGCCGTTCCTTATATCATTCAGATCGTTTAGTTTTGGGGTATTCTTTATACGATCCTCCTACATAAGTTTTAACATTTTATGAAAAATGAATAAAACTTTTTCTTGATTTAGTTTTACTCGACTACGAGAATATACATTTATAAGTATGGTATAGTTCCAATTTCATCAATAAAGTTCATTTAGAAAACGGCAAAAATCTTCATATTCAAAACACTATGTTTTTCATTTAGAAAGAGTTTGAGCTTTCACTCAACCAAATTTTATAATTTGTGTTTTAAACTTAAGGTAGTGAGCTACATATGTTTTACCACTTTATATTATAAAAACAATTGATAATTACACATTTTAATAGAAATAATAAAATTAATAGAATAAATGCATTTTGGTCATCATTTATTCAGTGTTATGAGTCAGTTTTGGTTGATCTATTGAAATAGTTCTACATTTCCTTTACGAGAAAACATGTGAGATTACGGTTTTTACTAGAGAAACTAATGCGGGTTTTCTTGAGCTCGAAGAGGGTTTTTAAATACAAAAATATTATTGAAGTATTGTAGAGGTGTATGTAAACACAATGCCCAGCAATTGTCAGACACATTTATCCTTTCGCTCAAAATTCAGTGATTATAATTATACGTGGTGAATTACGTTTTTAAGGTAATAGTGCAGTCAATGATGAGCCAAAAGGAGGTCCACCTTGCAAGAGGTGATGTTGAAGGTTTTTTAAAAATGTTGTTTATGTTGCTATTAGTAAGAAAACCCTAAGTTTTCTCACAGTATATGAAATTATATACTGTAATATGTAATTATATACTAATGTTAGGTACAATCTAAAAAATAAGAAAGATTGTTTATCGTAGCTTCAAGTCAGCAAGATGCCATTGTTCTCACTGTCCTCATATGTCCTCGTTGTCCAGATATTCCTGTACCATCACCGCCAGATAAACTAGAAAATGTACCTGATGCCACTGACAACGAATCCGAAAATTGTGATGAAGAATCCGTAGTTACAGGCAGTTCAGAGCCCAAACTATTTTGACAACTAGCACCAAATGACTTCGTTAGAGACTTAGATCTTTCTAAAGATTCAGCAGAACTTTTGGGTTCTAGGTTAAAGAAAATAACTTATTGGCTCCTGGTACCTCTTTCTCATGAAAGACTCATACTTTCACAAGAAAATTATCTGGTTTACTGCAATAATATTAACGAACCGATTGATGAGGTTAAAGTACACTATTGCGTTGATCTGAAAGTAATAACCATGCTTCTTGAACAGCAGGGAGGCTACACTCATTTCCCCAGCATCTTGTGTTCATGGAATAGCAGAGATATGGTTCACCACTGGATCAAAAAATATCATTCACCATGCGCACGTTTTGTTGAACTTTCCTTTTGCTTGTAGTGTTAGGAGTAGAGCTTGTTTGGGGGGTGTTGTGGTAGGTAGGAGTTTGCTTGTTAGTAGGGATGAGTTACTATTTTGTTAGCAATGCAGAAAAATCAAATCTGGAATTCGTTTACCGATGCAAATAGGTGTTTTACAACTCGGGAACGAAAATGTCCTATTGCCACAAATGTTGCTAATCTCGCGCTTTTTGAAATATTATTATTTATTTATTGTTTAACCTTTATTCATCTTTCAACTATCTATACTTAAATTGTTGGGAAGGGATTTCGGAACTCAAGAAAACGCGTGCAGATCTTCTGCTCCATACGTCACATAGATTAGTTACTGTTGTTTTTACCATATAAATAAATGATCGCAGCGAACTTAAGGGGTGGGGACAGGGAGCAGCTGGAAGGATGGAAGGGAGCAGGTCGGAGTCAGGTAATTGGGGCGCTCCGGAAATTCATTATTCATAGATAGAAATTATTTGTTTTACAATCTAATTTTTACTTTCCCCTATAAACGGAGTAATACGTATGTATGCTACAAAATAGAAGATAGAGATTTTCCCTTCATTGTTTTCCTTAGTGAGTTCTTATTTTAAGGTCATGTATATTTTTTGAAAAATTTTGTACTTTTCGCGCAATATTGGTGCAACATGTACAATTTTAAAAAATTATAAGAACACGATTTTTTTAAAAAGGCTCCAATTTTTTTCTTTAACCATTTGGTAGGGATAGTTCTAAATACACCCTATAAGATGACATAAACGCCATGTTGCTCTATTCTTTTGTTTTTTCATAAATTACAAAAAAATACTTTTTTCACATGTGTCACGTCGTTAATATTTCTATAAGGGGCAATTTGTTCGCAGTATTATATTTATTAGTATAGGTGCTTTAAATAATGTCACAAAGTTTTTCCAAAGCTCAACCTATTCTGTGAAAACTTGCTCAAAATTCTGCATTCTCAGAAACGCACAAACGTCATGTTCTAGAAATGGGCTTCAAATTGTTTCTTCAATCTTTTCGAACGGATAGTTTCACTCTTTAAAGTTTATTTTGTTTTCTTTATTAAAAAATTACACAAATGTATTTTTTTAATATCTCTCAATTAATCCGTTAATATGTACATTTCCAGGAATATGTAAAGTCTGTGGTATTTGCGAGTGAATGTGCTTGAGTGAATGAGTGAAATAACTTGTAATGAGGTTTCTCAAAAATTTCCTTCAAAAAAGAGCGTCAAATTTCGAATTTACTAGAGAGCTAAAGCTCCATTTTTTTGAAACGGGACAAAATTTTTCAAAGAAAATTGCCATGAAGGACGAATTTTACTGTTCTTTAATATTCTTAAAATTATATTTTCGTTCTACTATTAGAAAAACGAAAAATTAAGAAATTTTCAAAAACAAATTGGGCGGTGGTAGGCAGAGAGAATGTGGCAAGCCCGAACGGAGAGCGGAGGCCAAAGGAAATAAAAAACTAATATAGGAAAGTCTGTGCCATTCTGTAGCACCACTATTTTTTTCTTTTTATTTGTTGCGTTTTTGTTGACCTACTAGCGCTAAGCTACTAGCGCTGAGTACTAAGCGCTTGCCATGAGGCAATTCTTCGTTTTTACCTTTGTCAAGTCTCGCCACGTCGCAGTCAGTGTCTTTTGTCTCTTCGGCATGGGTCGCGGCGTTGTTAGATCCCGGGGTTCCGGGCGGCTTCCCACGGCGCGGCCGCGGCGCGCTTCCTTCAAGGAGCAGAGCTCTTCCGACGCCCGCAACGCCGCAGTCACGCCACTCCGCCGCCGCCGTGGAAGGGGTGGGGTCTAGAAGGGTAGGTTTCGCCGACCCTCCGGCGACGACGAACAAATGGACCGGAGCAGGTAGAACGCTGCGGCCGCGGCGCAGGGGGTACGCTTCCATTTAAAGCTGTGTTCTGCTAGAGTGGCGCGTGGCCCCTTCCTCCGCTTCGCGTAGCTAGAGTTGGCGTCCGGCTGCGCAGCAGCCGCCACCCGCTGCACGTGGGAAGGCCTCCATTCAAACCAATGCTCTGCTACGCGCCGCGCTACTGCGCGGCGCGCTGCGGCCGCGCCGTGGGAAGGGGCCCTAAGCGGCCACTCAACCAGGATCACGCGAAGTCTCGAATTCCCTTAACCTCGTGGCTACCCAGCGCGTAGTAAACGAATGCGGCTAGCGACGCCGGCATTTACTCGTTCGTGTAGATGAAAGGAATAAATACGTTGAATTGAAATAAAAATTTAGGCTCATTTTTACACGTAAAATAACAAAACAATATTGAAAGTTTTATTAGTACTATTTTTATAACACTCTAGACTACAGACCTATCAAATAGAGCATATTTACCAAGGCAATGATAACTTCCCATTCTAATGTTACGTGGGTCCTGGAATTGATGCCAATTAAGGTTGAACATAGAGTATTCTCCCTTTCGAAATTGTGGAAACTATGAGGCACGAGACTGCAGTGTTCCACAAACCCACTTCAGGTATTGATAGGCAATACCATTCTAGAATAAACAGTTATTAAACTCAGACATAACAGTGTACGCTTCAGATATATTTACATAATTCACATCACCAAGATTTATTTTCCTTCCGCTCCAACGTAGAGGAAATACACTACCCAACACAAGTAGAACAAATTGTCACGCGTTAAAGAAAAATAAATTACCAAAAATTAAACGTTTTTTCAACAAATCTCTCCCAGCCATCACGGCTACAACGTTCGCCCTCCACAGGATAACTTGGTATTGCAGGGCTGCGTGCACGATGAACGCGAGTGGCGGCGCAAGATGCGGTGGGTGGCGCTGGGCGGAGAGGTGGCGGAGGTGGAGCGGCTGCTGGCCCGCGAGTGCGCGTGCGCACCGCACACGGCGTTCGCACGCAGGCTGAAAGAGTCCGTGTTGCTGGTCGCCAGCGTCCGCGGCCACGCGGATCTCGTGCGGTTTCTGCTGCAGCTCGGCGTCCACGTCGACGCTCAGGTAAATTGCCACTCGCCTGTTAACTCTCCCCGTTAGCGCTCTTCTGCTTTCTGTCTTGTAACTTCTGGTCGCGCACATGTCGCCGCTGAGGAGAGCATCCTTCCTCGTGTTAATTTTCTCGGTCAGTTCCCCTCTTATTTTCAACACTGTAATGTCCCGCTTCTTTGCATCGACATTCGTTTAGTCACCTCTTCTTTTCTTTCTTCTCATTAATATTCGCTTGGACCCCCTGCACGTCGCTGCTGGAGGCCACGTCGATGCTCAAAGTAAATTTCCCCTCGTACACTCACTTTCCCCAACAGCTTTCTTCTTCTACTTCCTCTCCCTTATGCTTCCTCCCTTGGATACTCGCTTGAAACGCCTGAAGCGTGTCTACAACGGTTTTCTGAGATGTTCAACATCTAATTCGGAATATCTCTTTTGCGTTTCTTCTTAATTGATTGCCATTGACTTTTTCGCGTACCTTCTGCTTCTGTTAGCCCACGATGTTACCGGCGACATTTAGGTGCGCATACCTGAAAATACTCATCTTCTCTTTCGGTAATCTTATTTCCTTTCTTCTGCTTACCCTTCTGTTATTATCTTATTCCCATTTAACTTTCGTCTTTCGACTAGTTTTTACTACGTATACGTACGTATCTACGGAGTAATATACATAGTATAGAGAAATTTATGTAATGCTGCGGAAAATCGATTTCGATATTTCAACAAAAATACACGTCTTAGGTTCCATCAATACAGAAAAAGTGGATATTTTTCAAACCGTCTCTTCGTCTGTGAACAACACTAGCGCCGAAATTATTCATAGGTTTTTTCAGTAAAGAATACTCCCCGGCCATTCTGACTCGATATTTTAAAAACCATCCTTTAAACTTTAGGGTACTTTACATGAAGCCCTTGATGCATTTTCAATTTTTTTTCAAAACTGTCTCCAAATATTTCCTTTAACGTATTGTAAGAAGAGAACAAAAGACATTAATAAGATAGCCTAGGTCTAATGATCACTGTTAATTCCAAATTTTGAACATTGTAAAAGTTAAAACTTTTTTCGGTGTCTTCCTACAACTTCCTATAACAAAACTGAAGATGGAGATTTTTCGATGAAATTTGATTCTCGTAATTAGTTCTTACAAGGTCATACTCATTTTTTTAAATTAATAGTATTCACAATATTAAAATATATTAAATCAAGAATTTCTCAAAAACAGCTCCATTTTTTTTTACTTTCTAACTACTGCTGACGCAGTTTGAGAAAATATTGTGGTACTGCGAAAAAAAAGCGAATTTTCGACACACAAACTCTTGTTACCTGGCCCAGAAAACAAAAAAATGATATAAATCGTGACCATATAGAAAGTAAATTACTTCTTCTAACAAGTTGTGCACTCAGAATCCATGTTTTGTGGATACATGATAATGGAAAACGTCTGTGTGTCTGTGTGATCAGCGCTAGCGGCTAAACCGTAAGCAGTCTTTTCACCAAAACTGATACTCCTCACTTGGTCTGGCTGGTGTTGCGGCTCCTTCAATTTTATACTGATATTTTAATTTTTGAATTGATGACTGAGTGATATGTTCTTACGAAAGGAAACGTATTGAAGGAAGGTTATAAATCTAACTTACAACTATCAAACAAACATACTTTACAAAATTTTGATCGCTGATTATGGTATTAAAGAATTGAAACCTCACTTCAATGAAATCAAGGCAGGCTTGAGTGAAATTATTCTTACTTTTTCTGTATTTTACTTTCACTACTGCAAATACTGTAAGAGAAATTTATTCATGTTTCTTCCATTTGTAAAAGTAAGAACTGACTTTCTTTCCTGAAAATCGAAATAAATGCATGTATATATATATATATATATATATATATATATATTATATATATATTATAACAGAGGCATTATTTGAATTTGTTGAATTGGACTTCAAGTTATAGCAAAGATGATAGTACACTAGTTTAATGAAGAGGTCCAATCGTTGACGGATATTTTCTTATTTTCCCGCGTTCCTTTTAATTACCAAAAGCGTGAGGTCTCCATCCATGTAATCTGAGATAAGAGATATTGAGATTCTACATTGCGAGCATTGTTGTTTCGAATACACTTTTAATCGTTAGGAACTCAGTTTTATTTGATTCACTATCCTGACGTCACATTTTCTCACTTTCAGTTGGACCGTGTGACTGGCTTGCTTTACGCAGCCGCGTTCAACCGCGTGCAGTGCGTGGAAGTGCTGCTGGATCACGGAGCGGACCTGCACCACGTCGGCCCCTACGGCAGCACGGCGCTGCACTGGGCGGCCGACAAGGGCGCAGCGGAGTGCGTGCGGGTGCTTCTGGAGCGAGGCGCCAACTTCACCGCGGAAGACAAGAACCGCGCTCTGCCGCTGTACTGCGCAGTAAAAGGATACGGAAGTGCGTTCGAGAGGCGCCATTTGCGCGACACGTGCACTCGGAGCAGGCGAAATCCATCCTGCGACTACTTGGAAAGCGTGCGCGTTCTCTGCCGACCTGAGTACATTACACGCGTGCCGCAGCAAACAAAAAACTTCGCTCTGTGCGCCGCTATTGAGAAAGGGAATGTAGAAATTACACAATATCTTCTCGATGAAAATATTGCCGATCTTTCGTACACAACGATTGAAGGAGAGACTGTCATGCATATAGCAGCGTTTTATTCAAATGTCGAAAATATTCGGGCCCTCGTAATGGCGGGAGCTGATGTTAACTGTCGAGAAAACAAGGGGAGAACTCCTCTCCACTTTGTACGCTCATCGTCTTGTGCGGAAGAACTCATCCGTTGGGGCGCGGATGTTCTAGCCCAAGACTTCGAGGGCCTCGCGGCGGTGCACTACGCCTCCGCAAGACAAAGCGAAGACCTGATCCGCATCCTCGTGGCGGCCGGCGCTGACGTCGCGGCCGAATGCATCTATGGAGAAACCGCCCTGCACATTTGCGCCCATTTGAGCCATCTCGCTTGCGTGACGTTGTTGTTGGATCTGGGCGCGGACATAAACGCGAAAACGGTGGAAGGGATGACACCTCTGCACTACACTGCTCAAACAAAGAACTTGAGCTGCACGCAGAACTGGTATGAAGGGGCCTGTCGCCAGAGACCTGCAGGGCTGGACGGCGCTGCACTGGGCGGCGCGCGAGGGCTGGACGAACGGCTGCAGTACCTGCTGGCGCGGGGCTGGGCCTGCAGGAGCCGCACGGCGGCGGGGAGACGCCGCTGCACGTGGCCGTGCGGGGAGGGCAACGCGCGCTGTCGTGGAGGAGCTGGTGCGGCTGCGCGCGCCGAGTGAACGCGCGGGAACGAGCAGGGGCGCACGCGCTGCAGTGGCGGCGGGCGTGGGCGCGACGAGCGCTGTGGCGCAGGCGCTGCTGCGGGGCGGCGCCGACCCCGGGCGTGTGACGCGCCGGCCACGCGCCGGCCGACTGGCGTTGGAGCGCTGCGATGCGGCGCATCGTCGCTCGTGGGCCGTCGCCGCATGAAGGCGCAGCTGCGGCGTTGGGAATGTCAAATGGTGCTCCAGCAGCTCATATTTATCATATTAATGGTAAGGTTTGGGTTTTATTAAGGGGACTCGAAATTGATTTTCAGCCAAAAAACAGTTTTGTGGTATTTTATTTTTTTAATCTTCATCATTTTCTTCTTAAATTGGCGTTTGATTATTTCGATATCACTTTTGTATTTTTTTATTATTTATATATAAAAGCCTAATCTCATTGGGCTTCCATACTGGCTCCAACACTTTCAGGTAGTGTTATACAATGCAGCGCATAAATACTGAAAGACTTAGCCATACAGAAAGTAAATTGAAAAAGTATGTCGTTAAACCAATATAAAAAAAGTCTCGAAAAGTAGTTATTGCAAAATGTGTATTGTGATGAGGAAAGTTATCAAGCTGCCATGTTCGAAGGTTTGCATCTTTAAAGCCTATTTCCCAAAAGTTTATATTTTTAACACTACTTTATCTTTTTTCCACTTACATTTGTAATAGCAAACTGAAGTTTTCAGGAGTTGTTAAGAAAGGTCTCCATTATTGAAACAACGTTTTTTCTGATTACCCCAGTATTATCGAATCTGCAAAACTTTATTTACTAGAAAACGCGGTAAAAAATGCATTATAATAAAATACATTTATCTTCAAAAATAGTAAACAATTTTCAAAGCCATTGTTCATTGTTATTGTGAATGATACATCTATAACCTGTAAAAGTACTAGCCTAACATCAATACCTTTTCAGAATTAGATTCAAAACATTTAACATTGCCATGATAGAGCATTCCATGTCCCCTAAATATATTGCACCTTCTATCCTACTAACACTTGAGTAATCAGTCAGGGACATTCTTGTTTTTTCTCCACCAATGACAAAGGTGGGAATGGTCGTGAGTTACACAGGAGGCCTGTTTATGACAAAAGAGCCGTTTATATTTCTCTTCACATTATGCTTGGCATTCCAGCGGTTCCATGGCCCAGACAGCCGCAGACCGGGGGCCAAGCACCGCTGGTCGCTCGCGCTTCCGCGGAAGCTCGTCAGTGGTCGAACCTGGAGCTAACGGATGGCTCTGTTAATAGCGGCGGCAGTGGCAGGCTGACAGGCAGTTGGTTGTGGCGACCGCTCGCGGTCTCGGCCAAGCGGGCTTCATACGCAAACCCTTACGGGAAACATTTGGGACGCGACCAGGCTCACGAGAGCATATCGCATGTCTGTCGAATCCCACGCCAGGAGAGATCTCTGTACTTGTGTGTTGGGAACGAGCGACAGATTGGTACTCGTTTGGGACCCGATTCAGATTGGGACTCGTTCTTGTGGGACCCGATTTACAAGCTGGGTTTTGCCGAACGGATTCGGGAGTTTTGGCGACCGTGCGCAAGCCCATTGACCATTGGCGAGGGAGAGGCGCTTTGTGCATGCGCGATTTCGTTCAAACACCTGAATCTGTTCGTTCGACCAACACACTCTGGAGTCGTAGGCTTCCGCGGCCAGAGTCATGTGGGTGATCTGGGCTGTCCGGGTGAGGCAGCGTCACCCGGACAGCCCAGATCACCCACCAACACACTCTGGATATAGAAAACCTCCACACCGAGCTTGTGACGTAGTGTTATGGCGCCCAGACTAGTCCTTGGCAACTGCATTGTTTGCTCATGGCCAGCTGTTTAAGTAAAATCGACGTGTTCTAATTAGAAAACTGTCAACGTTTTAGCACGATCATTCCAATCGGTGAAGATATTCAGTATTATTTCTAATTATTGGTGCCAGCACATGATTGCTATTTCTTACAATACGCCGTATAAATGTGCGGTACCAAACTGCCGAGGAAATTACCAAACAGTGCCAAATTCATGTATTTGGTTCTCCAAAAGATAAATAAATGCGACGAAAATGGCTTGCTGCTATACTTCTGCATTTATTTACTGCTCCACTTATCTTCCTAAAAAACGAACAAAAAAAATCAACAAAAGTTGATGAGCTATAGAAAAGAAGAAAAGAATACTGGTGAACTAACTGGCTTCAGGCGTTGCTGTTAGCGTTGTTTCGCAGAAAGCTTTTAAACCGACAGTTTTCTGGTTTAATGTTGGAAGATTGGATAAAAAAAATGAAAAAAGATAGTGTCTCTGGTTTAAACAATTGTAAAACAGTGATGATTGTGTTTCATTTTTATAACAAGTTTCGTAACCTCATCCAGTATTTCTCTTTTTATTACTTGTAGATAGTGTTTCAAATTTTAATTTATACAGAAAAAATGTAGAAGTCAAGATTATCCAAGAAACATTAACAATATGCATTTAATTTCATGTTAGATATTTGTTTGAAATCAGAAGAAAATATTACAAATGATGATTGTGTCATAAAATGTATCTCCAATTTAATTCTCTTCACATAATAGAGCAGATAACTGAAGATGAGATGATTATTTTAAGTTTTGTTTATTTGAATAAATAAACTAATTCATGTTGATAAAAAAATAAGCTCCTTCTTAATAATACTTTCCTACCTTTATTTTCAATTTCATCACATAAGTATAACTTTTGTTTTACTTCAGACATTAGATTGAAATGCGCAGCTCATAGTGTTATTGATGTGATAATTTGAACCACTGCAGTTATAGATAACTTATTTCTCAGCATGAAAGGGTATTTTTATCGTGTAAAAATCAAGAGATAAGCAGCTCAATCAAGTGCAAATGAATGCGTGCTTCTTGATTGCATTTGTCCCATTGGACATTCTTCAGAAGACAAAATTAAGATATTGACTTCGACAGCAGTGAATACATTTTAAAAAGTATTGCAAGAAAATTAACGACCATATATTTGGTAAAATCGCTGAAAGATTAAGTTGAAAACTTTCAAGATTAGTTTGTAATTTGCGAATATTTTATTTATGTGTTAATGTATTAATAAATGAGACTGGTCATTTTGCACATGCATTACGATTTATATATAACCTACTATCTTTATTGTTTTCACTATATTCCTAGTAATCATCTTAAATGCTTGGAGTATAAAGTATCTGCAAAACAAATGTTCCTGGGATCAATCTTAAAAACTAAAAGGTAAATGTATTTTAAATAAATTTCTCATGGTTTTTTGAAATGAATATATTCTTAATTTCACTTATATAGTTTTTGTCTTACATTTTCAGAATTGAACTCGCAAACGAAGCAACCCTTACGCGGTTACTTCTAGTGTAACTGCGAACTGCGCATTTGTCCCACGGCCGGACTACCTATAATGTTACAAATCAGTGTGGAGGTTTCCTATATGCAGAGGGTGTTGGTTTCAAGCGCCAAACTAGCTCACGCTGCCACGTGCGTGGGTGTCCGTCGAGGACACAAGGCTGCTTTTCTTACGGGTGCGAGGGAGAAGTCTTTCTTACAGGTGCAATGGGTTTGATGAAGAGGAGCGGGGTCGGGGCCCAGCATTCGGGGTCATGAGTGGGCGAACGGGCGCCCTCGCCCGTGAAGGCAGCTTCATCACGATAGCACTCGAAATCACACGAAATATATTAATATTTGAGAAAACTTGCACTTTAAATGTATTAAAGATTTATAATTGGAAAATACATTGCATTAAGAAACAAATCTCTATCTTTAATATTAAAGTTGTAGCACAAGTTTGAAAATAAAATGAACTTTGTCACCACATTACTACTAACATTAAAAATATTATATAAAATCTACTATCATTAAAAACATTTCTATAGTATTATTTACGTATCTAATATTGAGTAAGAGACTGCATCTAGATCGATATTTCTAGCCTCAATATTGAAGATGTTGGACTGACTAAAAAAAATTAGCCCCATTGAAAAAATTGACATATTTTGTGACAAAATGAAATTTTCAATATCGTTAAAAACATTGTCATGATTGAACAAAACTTTGAATAAATATTCGTAACCGCTTTTTTTAAACACCTTGTTCGCATATTGTTAAATTGTTACTATTTCTCTCAAAATTACGCAAGAACTACTCATATTTTTTAAAAATGTACATGACTTTCTTTAAGATATAATTTTGAAGAACAGATTTCATGTACTAACTAGGGACCAGAGAGTATGTACTAGCTAGGGACGATTAAGCAGAACTTACTTCCTTGCCCCCTTAGTAACGGTTATGATTTCAGTGCTTGATTTCTAATGGAAAGCGAGGGAATGACGTTCCGGTATTTCGGAAATAATTATTAAATTATATTATAAATAGATGAGTATTTCTATTAAATTAATAATTATTAATTTTGGGCGCGATACGAGACCTAAAATAATACAACTCTAGCACTTATAATAACATTATACCGCAATTGCTGTCTGCGCGTGCCAACAATGGGCATGTGTTTCCTAATCCATTTTTCTTAAAAAAGTCATTCTTGCCATAAATGAAATTGTTTTTCGGCGTACATTGTGGTGGCTTTTAAGGATCTTAAAAGGCGTTTTTTATGCTACACAAGTGCTTCTTTTTCGAATATATAAGTTTATTTTTCTCCCTGCTTCCCATTGTATTCCATGCTTATTCTTAAATGTTTCATTTTCTTTTAATTAAATACTTACAACCAAACAAAACCATAATTGATCTCATAATTAATTAAGAAATTAAACAATTATAGATGCCTCGGAAAGCAGAAAGCCTCCTAAAACGTGTCATTTTTGCTGCCAACTCCCTTCCAGAAACTGTTCCAACTTCGTACGTTAGTTCTTGAAAAAAATGAAATCGTACGAAACAGTAAATGAACGAATATTATTATAAACACGTTTTATTTCCAGTACATCGTGCAGACAAGCACGGATAACTACCCAAATAAATTGAATATCTAAATAATGCCATCCAATATAGTCCATTATGAATGCATACGAAATTACGATATCATTTTCTTATGCATATCTGTATGTATATTCTTCCCGACTTTAATAAACCATTTTATCATAATACCATTTAATACCATACCATAATAATACAATTTTATTGAACGTAGAGACATT